GATAAATAAATAGATAAATAAATAAATAAATAAATAAATAAAATAATGGCCCATCTGTGCCTAACGGTTAACATTCCAACCTTCTCTCCCTTCCTCCCTCTCTACTGTAATCGCAGAAACGAAGCAAGCGAACTAGCAGGGCAAGTGATTGATTGTGAGGATTCTGAATTCAGGGACTTCTGTATTTGAATTGGAATCAAAACATTTGGTGATTCGACCCAGTGATTATTAAAACTGAACACAGGCATAATTTCTGAAATTGAATTAATGTAGTACAAAGCATGTCTATGCATTAAGAATATATTATTTTTGTTGTTTAGGCTGTTGAATATAATATTTTTGAAGGCATGGAATGCCGTGGGGCTCCCCACATAGTTATTAGCCAAGGGAAGATTGTGTTCGAGGATGGAAATCTTTCTGTGAGAAAAGGAGCGGGCTGTTTCATCCCTCGAAACCCTTTCCCTGAATATCTTTATCAACGGATCAAAACTAGGAATAAGGTAAGTATATTTACTTTGTTGTAGTTAATCTTTTAATATTACACTTTAGTACCTGGCTTGCTTTTATTAACAACCATTTTGTGAAGTATAAACTGAAAAAAATGTAAGACAATTCATATGAATTAATCATTGCTAAAGTGGACGAATAAAAATATCACAAAATGTGAATGTTGGTACTGGTTTCCTAGCACTACACAGATGGGGCTCCCTTGAAATTCCTGATGAATATGCAGCTGTTCAGGGTGTTTCTTGCTACTGTGGCTGATACAGTGATTTTTTAAAAAGTGCTCTTCTGACCAAAAAAAAAAATCTCTTGACTTGGCTTAACAGGGTACAGGGAGTCCTCATCAGGCAAAGTGGTCACTAAGTGAAACAGTGACTGTGGTTACAATCTTACTTCAGTTTTCCTTAGCTTTACAGACCTGCAAAGGTCATAAATGTGAGGACTGGTTGCAAAATTACTTTTTTATCACCGTTGTAAGTGCGAACAGTCACTAACTGAGTCAGTCACTAAATGAAGACTACCTGTAGTTGGAACAATAAAACTGCAGTAGGAGAAGTGGAAGAGGAAGTCCCCCAGTGCCATCCCTATCTTTAAATCACTCTCCCTGAAAATTAAGAAAAAGGGCCCCACCAATTCCAGTGTTCTCAGCATGAAGCCTCCTCAGCCTGATACAGTCTAATATCTCCTCCACCTTGAAGTGGCTTTTAGGTAAAATAATAGCATTAAGGGGACAACGTTGGATTTTTCAGGAGTGCAGGACTGGAAAAAGGAGTTTTGCAGCTGTCCAGGTATAGTTCTCTATATGCTTGCCCAGATTTGTATTGTTTACAATCACCTTCAAGAACTTTTGGCTACCTTCTGCTGGTGAGAACTGCTGGCTGGACTGTCTGCCATATTGTTACAGTCTCGAGTCAACCCTGGTCCTGGTGCTGGCTTTGGTGAATTAGGAATGTTTTTTTTCATCAGCGTCTGGCTCTGGTTACCCTGGGTTAATGGGGGAATAGAGTGGAAGGTGTGGAGGATGATAAAACATGGGGCTTTCCACTTACTGGAGCCATGTAAACTCAATTACTGCTGAGTGCTGGAGAGGAGGAGCAGTTCTGGGATTGTGAGGTAGGCTAAGGGAGTGGGAATGGTTTCAATGTTGAGCATATGTTAGATGGGGCCTATGACCCGGGAGGGCGTGGGTGGGGTTGAGGAAGCTGCATTAGGTTGGGGGAGTCAGGGCAGGGAATAACATCAGGGTTATGGTGGGAATCTAGGTATGGGCTACTCCTGGGGCAGGCAAAATAAGTATTTGAGACGGGTTTTATCTGTTAGTCCCTGGTACTTGGTCATAAGATTCTCAGTGGTCCTGATCTTCAGCTTTTGCTCCTAAATGTAACAACGTTGTCCTCACGGATTATTTGTTTGTGGATGAGGTAGCTGTAGAAGGTAGAGATATTGGCCTTGAGGGAGAGGAGGAAGAGCTGCTGCCAAGGCAATGCTCAGATAAAAAAAGCCTGAGTCCAAGGCAGAACTGTAACATAGACAAACATCTCAGACAAGCCCCTCCCTAGTTCTCCCAAAGAAAGGGAGGGAGGGGAAAGCTGCATTCAGACTTGCAAGATTCTGTTAATATAACTTTACAATAAAAGTAATATTGGTCTACATGACTTTGGTTTCTAATCTGTTTGACCTTGAAGGGCTGACAGTAGCTCACCTGGCATGTGTAACCGAGACTTGGGAGGGTCCAGTGGGGGGAGTTCCCTCTCGGAGATATGTCCACCTGGGTTTCAAGTGTGGCATCAGCTGCAACCCCAGTTGTTCTCCAGGAAGCCCTAATGGCTTTCAGAGGAAGTGCCCTGCGGATGCAATGCCCAGATGCAGTGCCCTGTGGTTGCGAAATTGCAGTCTTGGGAGCGGATGGGTTTACTGCTGTTATATTGGAGTCCCTGCTGGATGATGATATCCCTTCCTCAGTTGCTGGACTATGTTGCAGAGCTGGCAGTGGAGCCTTTGAGACTGTTTTGGGAGATTGCAACTTGTCCTGTTGTGGGATTGAGTCCGATGTAGTTTGAGAGTTCATGGCCACCATGGCATCTATGGACCTGTCCAGATCATCAAGGACTTGACTCAGATAAAGGTCATACACATTACTATCAGTGCTATGTCATGATCAAATCACTCTCAGTTCGACTGAGGTCCTAGTTTCCAGGTATACGGTGGGGCAAAAAAGTATTGCCAGCCACCAATTGTGCAAGTTCTCCGACTTAAAAAGATGAGAGAGGCCTGTAATTTCCATCATAGGTATACCTCAACTGTGAGAGACAAATTGGGGGAAAAAATCCAGAAAATCACATTGTCTGATTTTTAAAATTTATTTATATTTCAATTTTTTTACTATAGAAGAATTTAAATCTGTTTGGGAACAATGTGTTCAGGACTTATTTTTAAAA